GAGAAGAGAAGAGAAGAGAAGAGAAGAGAAGAGAAGAGAAGAGAAGATTTCTGATGCTCCTGCCAGTATCCAGCAAGGAAACTCACTGGGGAAGCCAATAAGAAGTTAGAAATTGTTCCTGATCCCACTGCTTTTTTTGCTTGTCTTTGGTCATTCTATTTCTCTATTTAGGTAAGGAAATAGCTCTGAAATGCTGACTTTTGTACTGATTAATTTCAAAAATTAAAGATGCCAGAGTTTAACCTGGAAATATTTAGAGTAGTCACAGAATCCATTGGATTTATCTCTTGTTTCTGGGGATTGCTAGTAATGTAAACTTACAAATAGGATTTTTTTTTTCAGTTAATAAAGGGTGTTTGTTTGTTTTTAAGTAATTTATATCTTCTTGCATCTTTAAAAAGAAGCAATTAAAATAGCTTTCTTCTTCCTAATTAAAACATTCCACAGATATTGATCCATAGTACCTAAAATTCCCAACCAGGTCTCCACAAGCAAGTGAACATTAGAATAAGGTCTGTTGGAACATGGATGTATGATAACGATAAGGTCCCTGAAGATACAAAAGTCAGATGAAGGCATGAGAGGCTTAGGAAAATAATGCATACATTAGTTTCTATGTTTTCATCTTGACCAAATACAGACCATTAAGACTTTCCTCGTGATGGTGAGGGCAGTGAAAAGAAAATATTTCTCTGTCTTTATTGTGTCTATAGATAGTCATTCCATAGCTCTGCTTTGGATGAACTGTGCCCTCATGGATAGAAAGGGCACAGAGACCCTTCCCTTGCAGGACCATGCACAATAATTTTCTCAGCATTTGTCAGACAAAGTTGTTTGAAGTTGTTTGCAGCTAGATGTGGGCCTTGTGGTAGGGAGATGCTTGTGACAGAGTCTTGCCCTATTATCCTGGGATAGTTTGAAGGTGTGACATTGAAGAAGTGGACAGAGTCTTCATGACAGTATGCTCAGCCACTTGCTCTTTAGATGCATGACCTTCCTGACTAACTAAAGCAGCCTGGAGGATGTCTTATAGTGCGTTTTAGCAGTGGTGAATTCTTCCTTGGGTGAAGGGGTTGTTCTTTCACCTCTTTAGGTGGCCTTGGTTAATTCCCTCCTCAAGAATCCATTGCTGGACTGAATTTGGCTCTAATATCAAACCTCCTCTTTTTAGGGAAAGTGGTTCCACCTTCAGAAGACCCTGGATGAAGCAGATTATATAGAAAACAATTCAGTCAGGATCCAGGCCTGGTATAGGCTGGAAACTACTGGTTGCACTTTTAAATGATATCTGACGGGAATTGAATGGCAGTTGTGCATCCATTCTTGCTTTACTTGAATCTTTGATACCATCGTTGATGTATCCTTCTGGATCATCTCTGGAAATAGGGGGAAAGTAGCATTGTATTTTGCTTGTTCTCCTTTCTCTGGGGTCACAAGTCACCAGTGATCGGGGAGAAGATATCCTGCCCTCTGCCTCTACCCTATGAGGCAGTAAAGGGTTTGGTGCTTTCTTCAGTCCTCATTAAAATCCATATGTAGCCACTGGTGAACTCATTTATGCCATGAGATAAAATATCATCAATGTAGTTAGATATCTCTGACACTGGCAAATTATGTGTTGACGTCTTATCTCAATGCCTGGAAACAGTGAGTGTCTAGGTGGGGAGCAACAGACTTCAACTAAACCCTGGCAAGACTGAGTGGCTATGGTTTGTGGGCCTGATGATTCAGACCCAATGTGCAATTTAGGTGACTCCTACTGCTGGATTCACAACTTCTATTTGAGAAACGGGTGGCAAACGTGGCTGGGAGGAACACTGCAGTTCTGTGTTGTGCAAAATTGTGACCATTCCTGGATTGGAAGATTCTACTCATAGTCACCACATCCAGTTCACCTCTGTTGTGAATCAATAAAAAGTAACTAAGCCCAAATGCAAAGCGGGTTTTGAAAGCCTGCACACCTGATTGGTCCTTAAACAACGAACAAGGATTGGTCCATAACAAGTCCCTGATTGGCCAATATTAGGACACTTCTTATTGGGTATTAGTTGAACTTGTTGCACATATTATTGGTTAATA